TTCGGCTTGAGCTGCTCCTTGTGTTGAGCCCGCGCCGCCTTCTGACGACTTTTCGTCGGCTTGGCCATTCTGCGCTCCTCCAGCTCCCGAGGCGTGACTGGAACGTAGGACAGATGCGTCTTGCACGTCATGTACTTCGCGTACCTGCCGAACTGGTTGGATCCGCGTGCCACGTCGCACGAGCCGGGTGGGGGCAGTCCTCGGGGTCCTCGCGCTCCTGGATCGCCGCCGGCATCACCGCCACTGACAGGACCGTCTGCGTGCTGACATGGAGGTGCCAGAACATGCGAAGCGCCACCAGGCGCCAGCGCAGGACAGGCGTGGTCAGGACGGCATCACCGCCACTGACAGGACCGTCTGCGTGCTGACATGGAGGTGCCAGAACATGCGAAGCGTCACCAGGCGCCAGCGCAGGACAGGCGTGGTCAGGACCTGGCAGCCGCTCAGGAGCCACTGAGTCTCGAACTCTGGCAGGACCGCCGCCTCCAGGGTCGCCTCCAGCTCGGGGTCGAGCCTGCTGTCCGGCAGCTGCTCCCAATCGTCCATCTCCACGTCCGTCGCGCCGTGCTCCATCGCCTGGGCGAGCTCCCTCGCGCAGGTGCGCCAGATCGAACCCCACCCTCTTGATGATCCTCGGGTCTCGCTTCGACCGTCCTGGGTGAGGTGACTTGCCCCTCGAGCCTGGCGGACTGGACTTCGCGCCAGCTCCCGCTGACATCCAGAACACTCCTGCCCTCCGAATGCTTCGAGGACTCCCGCGAAACGCCTTGAGCCGAGAAGTCGGGAAAGAGGTTGGGCCCGCTGTCGTTTACCTCCCTCTTCCTGGGAGGAGAACTGACTAGGCTGGGACTGGGCCCTACTCTGACTGAGCTGAAACGCGCTCCTACCTATCCCTCCGGCCCCTCCCTCACCCCGGCGGCGGTCCTCAAGCGGCAGCCGCTCGATCGGCGTCTCCCTCTGGATCTCGGGGGTCAGGGCGAACTCTCTGGCTGGGTGCGAACCGAGATCGACCGAGCGATGACCTGAGGGATGAGGAGCCCGGCCTCCTGGCCCGCCAGCTTCGCGGTCCTGGAGTCGCTCGCCAGAGCGATGACTGCGCTCAGGGCCGAGAGCAGCTCCGCGGGGAGGAGCGGAGGGCAGTGGCCTGCCCCACCGAGGAATCTCGGCGTCGCTCGGACGTGTGCATTTTTCCTTCGGCGAGGACCATCGAGGAGCATCCTTGATCATCTGGCGATAAAAACCACGCACGAAACCGAAAAAAGCACAGGGAATGGACGTCCGAGCGATGGCCAGAAATTCGACGACTCCACACCCTCCCAGCGTGACTGGGACCCACGCGCGGCCCACCGGTGTCGCTCGGCCGCCAATCCCGGAAGCCTGGGTGCCGACGACGGGGGTCCAGTCGAAGTAGATTTGGAGGCCGTGGGACTTCGAGGCCTCGTTCAGCTGGTCCGCCTCGTCTTTGCCGATAAGGGCCTGTGCCGCGGCCGTGTCCACCAGGGCGTGCGTGCTCATCTTCCTCAGCGTCACCGCTGCCATCGAGACGTCGTAGCCCAGCAGCTCTCTGATCTTGATGCTCCAGTCGGTCGGATCCGAATCCTCAGTCGAGCCCGTGGCGAAGGTCAGCGCCAGGTAGGAGTCCCCATCGCCGTTCTCGAAGCAGTACGTGAAGCCGGTCACTGGCCTCACAGGAGCTTTCTTGTCCTTCTCACGTGCGAGCCTGTCTGCCTCTGACATGTACGGGTTCTTACACTGATCGGCCCAATGGGTTTTCTCGCCGTAATTGGCGCAGCGGCTCCTCTTGCGGAAGTGCTTCTCGCCGATCTTTCTGAAGCCAGGCCGGGCGGCCTTGCGTCGATTAAAGAACCCGCGATCCGTCTTCTTTGCCATCTTGAGCTTCCTGGATTCCGTCCAAGTGCGTCTCCTCTCGCGTCCTTACTTTTCTTCCACCACCGCTGCAGAAACTTACCTAAGGGTCTCGTGCTCATCGAGATCCTGGTCGTCTATGGCCGTCAAGAATGCTGCAGTTTCCTCCTCCGAGAGCTCGACCTCGTCGTCGAAGTCGCCTGCGCTGTCCACGTGGCGATCGGTCTCGGAGCTGTGGAGGCCGTCCTCCGCGATGAAGCTCTTCGAAACCCGCGGCGGCGCCGCCAGGAGGATGAGCTTCTCGGTGACGTTCAGCTGCAGCAGCGCGGAGGAGGAGGAGGAGGAGGAGGAGGAGGAGGAGGAGGAGGAGGAGGAGGAGGAGGAGGAGGAGGAGGAGCGCCAGACCTCTCGCCTCCACGTCCGCCAGCTGCGCGTCCCGGCGCAGCACGCAGCCCGTGATCGCTCCTCCACGGCTCGGGGGCGGAGAAGAGGGGGGTGAGGACTGGGGGGGGGATATCATGGCGGGGCCATGATATTCCCCCAGATTTCATGGCGCCCCTTTTTATTTCATTACGTCCCTGGCCCCCCCGCTGGGCCGCGCACATGCCGCCGATCATGATTTGCACCCCCCCCTCTTGGACACCCCCCTCTTGGCCGCTCCCGAACGGCGGATCAGGCAGTCGAACAGGGCATGGGAGTGCGACATCCTGTCCCTGTCGCCAGGGCGTTGCCCATTGAGCACGCACATGTGTGCGATTAGGTTCTCGATCCCGCGGTCGTTCTCGAGCGTGGCCCTCACCGTCTTGAACTTCAGCTGGAGCTCGACCGGCAGGGACTATCACTCGCGGGGCTTGCGACGAGAGAGCATGCCCGGTCCTTCTCGACCAAGCACGTAAGTTCTCAGAGTACAGTTTCAGGTGTTCGAGTCTGAGGAAAGTTGGGGGAGGTCCGTAGTCACGACTGCGCTGGTCCCCCGACCAGCGGGCATCTGTCCAGTCTTCACGCCATCCTTGGTTCCAGCTCCATCGGTCATCTTCTCGATTCGTGTCCCAGGTATCGTTCCTAGCGTCTCCGTCTTGAGTTCTCCAGCCGGCCCACCAGCCAGAAGTATTCCAAGACTGGTCGTGCTCCCTGTCAGTTTGTATTCCAATCTCCCTGACCATCTCGTTCTCGTCCGTTGGCATGCCAACGGGGTAGTGTCGGCGCAGACACTCTCGGGCACCAAGGTTCGAGGCGGTGCCGTTCCAACTCGTGCGTCAACTCGACGCCAGGCCGCTCGTCCATCAGCAGCTCCGCTTACCTCTGTCACGGGTTCGGGAGGCTCTGGGAGACAGAAGGGACTGTGGTGAGATACACTTGTTTATCGGACGGCCACGCGCGTCACCTCAGTGACTCCTCGGAGTCAAGCCTAAAGCCAAAATGGCTGTGCACCACAGTCGAACACGAAGAGCGGAGATCGGGGGGGGGCAGAGGTACCCCCTGAGGGAAGCAAAGGATGACACCTTCTCCTCCTCTTGCTCGTCGTCGTCCTCCTCCTCCTCCCTCCTCCTCCTCCTCCTCCTCCTCCTCCTCCTCTAGTTCCTCTAGTTCCTATGCCGTTACGGCGCGGCCGTGAAGGCGGTTCGCGCGAATCGGAGCTGGCTCGGTGAAAGCCTGCATGTCTGTCCCGGCCGCGTGCCAATGGCCCGCAGGGCAAGTCGCGCCCGCCGGCCGCTTGGAGCTCCCCTCCCCCTCGTCTCCTTCCTCCCCCCTCTCGCCTCCCAGAGGCGAGGCGCATGCCACTCCTGCTGGGAGTGGCCTGTTCTCCTCCTCCTCTTCCTGCCTCGTCCTCGCTCCCCCCCCCGCATGGTTCAGCTCCAGAGCTCGACAATTGGTGAAGTTCGCCACGCCGCACCCAAGTCCATAGGGATGCAAGCTCGTCGTTGTCCTCCCGCTTTACTCTGCTCTTCTCCAGTTTCTCGTTTTCCCTCCGATTCACGGGGGTGGCCTGTCCAGTGGTTGGGCGGCCGGTGCTATTTGCTCGTGTCGGCTCTGTCCTTCCTCTTCTCCCTGCCGCTGCCGCCGCCGCCGCCTTTCCTCCTTCTGTCATTGGGACCGTTCGCTTGACTCGCTCCGTTTGGAGCTGCGCTCAGTCGGATTTCCGAGCGCTGGGGCTTGCTGCTTCCTTTGGGCCAGTGTGGGGTGAGTCTGGCGCGCAGCCTACTACCTGCCCTCTTGTTTTCCCCTCGTCCTCTTCTCCTTGCTCCTGCTTCCTCTTTGCCCCCCTCTCCTCTTCCTTGACAAGCGCCTGCGCCAACGCAAGCGGCTGGGATTCTGAACCGTTTCCGCCACGGCCAGGTGTAGCAGCGTGGTGGTGCTAGTCTTTGTCAGGCAGTGTTTCGCATCGTGTCGAGCGTGGCCGACGCGCGTGAGCGAGAGTCTGTTCGGGCAGGGCCTCGGGGGTCCACTTCGCGGGCACGGTGAGGAAGCCACTGGGTCGGTGTGAGCTGCGTGGAGGGGAACAATTTTCCTTCAGTTCCTACAAGAGGGCGGACCCGCGCCCCGAAAAGGGATCAGCCCTCAGGCAAGCCAGGAGACGTAGCCAGGAAGGGAAAGTGACTGGCGCAAAGCCCTGGCCGCCCGGGGAGGCACAAAACAGACCTCGCTGGCAAGCCCTGAGCACGGGGAACGGGGGCTCCCGCCCTCCTCGGAGCTTGTCCAGAGCAGCCCGCGCCAACCTGGCCGCCCTGCGGCTCTTGTGGGCCAGGGGAACGCACGAGTCGCGCAAGAGGAGGGCCTGCCTCCGACCGCAGGCCCCGCACGTGCGACAGAAGACAGTGATGCCCCCCCCCCCCCCCCAGCCCCATAGGCTCCCGCACCAGGCCCCCCCCCACCCCCCACGAAATCACCCGAAGCCCACGGGACTGGTGGGGTTGGGCAGCAACCTTCGGGAGCCCAGGGCACGGCCGCGAGGCAGGCCTGGACCCGAGAGCCTCGCGTGCCCCGCAGACCTCGCAGCCCCTGGCGCGCCCGAGCCTCCGAATGCGGTGCCCTTGGGCCGAGGCGAACTCCTCCTCCTCCTCCTCCTCCTCCTCCTCCTCCTCCTCCTCCTCCTCCTCCTCCCGACGTTGTCCCTGGCCAATCCATCATTGGAGGACACTGCTGGGGTGGACTTCGATCTCTTCGCGAAGCTGGTGGAGGACTTGAGCGCAGCCCTTCCCCCCTTCCTACGCCCAAATCATTCGTTTGCTTGCTTATTTACCCTCTCTTCCCCTTCACATTCCCCCTCGTCTCTCCATACTTATGTCTTTTCATCCTGCAGCCTTCCCTTGCCTTGTCTCCCTCCTTCCCCTTCCTTCCTTCTTTTCTCTCGCCGTTCTCCATCTCCTCTTGCCTGCCTACCCCTTCGACCGCCTTCCTGCCTTCTGCCCGGATGTCAAGGTAAGGCCAGGAGCCGTCCAACAGGAGCCGTCGCGTTCATGCCAGCAGCCGTCTTCTTCGGGCTTGGAGCTGGGCTGGGAGTCGCCCCGTCCAGCTGGGAGCCACCCTGTTGAGACAGGAGTTGTCTACTCTATGCTGGGGGCCCGTACTGGGGGTCGTCTCGTTTAGCCTGGGCCGTCCCGTTCGGGGCCACTCCGCCTGGGGTAGGCGTCGTTCCGTTGAGGCCCGGAGCCGTGCCGTTCAGAGCCTTCTTGACGAAGACGGCCTGCGGCGAGTCATCGCCGCCTCCTGCGTCTGGGCATATTGATGTACGGTGCAGTCGATTGCGTGACCCAGTTCAGCATGTCGTGTAATGGGAAACAAGAGGTAGTACGATAGCATTCCGCAGCACTGTTCCCCCATCGGTTGCCGCGACGATTGGGCAACACCGGGGTAGGGATCTGCAGGAATGTCCTCACCGCAAGGCCTTGCTGGCCGATAATCGGTGCTACCTTGCTTAGAACAGTGCTTGAAATCAGCTTCTGGAGCCCCCGGGGGCCGTCTCGAGGAGGTCATGAGCATGCCTCTCCATGCCCCGGGTCCTCGGGCTTTCGCGCGCTGTGGCCCACTCTTCACGCATTGCGGGAAGGTTGTCAGGTTCACTCTCAGTGTGTCAATCCAGGACATTCGAACCACCAGTGCCCGTGAGCCTCTGATTCCGCGCCACAGCATTGGCCGCTACGCCCGTGGCCGCATGGATCCAGACCGCAAGCGTTGGAGATCGCCCCGGTGCTTCGCATCACGCACCGCCTCACGACCACGCAGGCGCATGGCCTGGGCATCGCTGTCTCGGCGCGGGCACCTCAGGCACTGCTTCTTTGCCGGCGCAGGCACTGCGCGTGGCAAGGCGGGGCGCGGGGGGCGGGCGGGCGGGAAAGGGAAAGGGGGGGGGGTCGTCGCGCATTTTCGAGCATTGCATCGGCGACTTCGCCTCAGAGGGAGCGGCCGTCGTCCTCAAGAAATTCGCGCTCCATGCCACGATCCGGCTCCTTTTTTTTTTTTTTTTTTTTTTTTTTTTTTTTTTTTTTTTTTTTTTTTTTTTGTTTTTTTTCTCTCTCTCTCTCTCTCTCTCTATCTGGCAGCAGGCAGCGAAAGTCCGCGGCCCACAATTCACAAGTAAGGTGGGAATGCGCCCGCAGTGTGTCGTACTGGCCCAAAGCTCCCGGTTGCTGGCAGGACGTGGCATCCATGTTCAGGGTTGTACAGTCGGGGCGCTGAGGAAGGAACCCTTTTCGTTGGGGAGGGGCTCGGTGTTCCTTAGTCGTTTTGCAGTTCGCCTTCGGTTTTGCTTGGGGTTTCGATGGGAAATCAAAGTTTAACTTATGGGAAAAAGGGGCCTCGTTCCCTATTTAGGGTTCCTTAGGTCAACGCCCTGGCTGTAGTCGGCAAGGTTTTCGCACAGCGAGCAGAAGAGGCCAGCGTCGGGACTCGCCTCGGAGTCTGGGCCCCTCTCTCCTGTCCCAGCACCTCCTTTTCTCAGGAGGGAAAAAACACACAGACACAATTAATCGTCGACTCCCAGGAAAATATGCGAAAATATGGGAAGTGGGGGGGAAGACAACAACCCAGAAAATATGGGAAACTATGGGGAATCTTTTCGTTTGTGTGCATTTATTTGTGTGTCCCAGGGCCCCTTCATTTTCCCGCTCCACTTTTCCTCTCCCGTCACCATTCCTCCATGCCCGCCCTTCTCACCGATCCATTCCCTGGCCAAACGTCGTTTGGGCAACACTTGGTCACGCTGTGGGACCATGCGCTCCCCACGCCGGTGTGGAAGCCCTTCGGGGAACACGTGCGGTCGGACAGCCCCCCGGAGGGGCAGCGGATCTCAAGTGTGGCCGATCGATCGAATCGAAGCTTCAGGCGATTTCGTTGCCTGGAAGAGAGAAAAAAAGAGGAGAACGGTGAGAGGGAGGAGCATGTTATCTGTCTGACCTTGCACACGTGACACGGGGCAGCGCTCTCGCGCCACCGACGGGCGAGCGAGGCCGTCGGCGCAGCCGGGCTGGCCCCAACTGGGACCTCTCCGTGGCCTACTCCAGATTTCGTAATCAAGGGAGGGGGTTCTCATTTCGGGGGGGGTCTCTTCCAGGCTATCTTGGAGGGCCTGGGGGGTCTGGGGACGACGTTTTGGAGGGTTCTCCCACGGGGGAGGTCCGAAATGGCTTGTCTTGGAGGGTCCAGACACCCTCCCTTTTACCACGAAGTCTGGAGTATCCTGGCAGGAGCGCCGCCCCAGACAGACACGCCGCGCACGAGGGTGGAAGTGGGTGGGCAATTGAACCCTATCTGGGCGGCGAACAGGCCCGACGCCCTGCGCTTCAGGTGCCGCCTGGTTGGCTCGGACGCCTGGGGCCGCAGCGCCACGGCCATTCTGCCCGAACGTCCTTCGTAGCCTGGCAGACGTGCACCCCCTGGCGACTAGCGGGGGTCGAACGTCGCGCACGTCGCCAAGCAGCCAGCCACCGAGGGCGAGGGAAGAGACGATAGGGGGCCACACGCGAACCCTGCCCCTACCCCCCACGATTTCTGAGGGGGAGGGTGGGGTTCACTTCGCTCGGGAGCTCCCAGTGGGGGGTAGGGGTAGGCTTCGCGTGTGGCCCCCTAGACGAGACGACAGGGCGCCTCCACGCCGAGCTCCGCCAGCCGCCTGGCGGCCCACGGCCGCAATGTTCTCCCGGCAAGAGGGGCGAACGTCCGCAGCGCCGCGGGGGCGCTGCCAGGCCGTGAGGTTGCCAGGAGGCCCAGCGGCCAGAAGGCAGAGAGGCTCGCACGGGGCCCGCCGCGCTGTTCCCCTGCCCTCCAACTCCTCCTCCACCTCCTCCTCCTCCCCCTCCCCTCCTCCCCCCTTCTCCCCCTCCCCCTCCCCCTCCTCCTCCTCCTCCTCCTCCTCCTCCTCCTCCTCCTCCTCCTCCTCCTCCTCCTCCTCCTCCTCCTCCTCCCCCTCCTCCTCCTCGCCCTCCTCGCCCTCCTCCCCCTCATCGCCCCCAGTACGGCCCACGGCCGTACTGGGGGCGAGGGAAACGAGGATGAGGAGAAGGATGAGAAGACCTCTTGGGAGCTTCTTGGGTCATTCTTGGGGCCTTCTGGGAGCTTCCTGCCCTTGGTGGTCTCTTGGGGGCCTCCTTGGGCCTCTTGGAGGCCTTTTGGAGCTTCCTGGGAGCCCATTGGCAGTCTTATTGCATTCCTGGCCCGTCTGACGCCGTCGGAAGCCGTCTTGGGAGCCTCTCTGGGCCGTCTTGGGGCCCTTGCGCTTCAGGGTCGTCCTGAAGCCCATCTTGGGCGCGTTGGAGGCCAATTGGGCCGTCGCAGTCTTGGAGCCCTTCGGGGTCTCTCGGGCCGTCCTGGGGCCATCTTGGAGGCCTCTTGGGCGATCGTGGGGCAATCTTGGGGCCTCTTGGGCCGTCTTGGGCCGTCAGAAGGCCGTTTTGAAGCAAATGTCAGCATCCTTCAACGACCTAGACCAAGTCAATTATCTTTGCCCATACCTGGAAGACCTCTTGGAGGCCTCTTGGGCCGTATGTAGTGCTTCTTGGGCGCTTCTTGGGCCGTCTTTGGCCATCTTGAGGCCATCTTAGGCCGTCGTGAGTGCATCTTGGGCGTTCTCGGCCATATTTGTCGGCTACATTGGGCTCTCTCAGGGCCATCTTGGCCGCCTGGGAGGCCATCCTGGCCGTCTTGGATGGAAGCCATCTTAGGCGACAAAGCCGACGGGAGGTGCGTTTTTCGGGCGGCCAGCGGGCTGAGCCGAAGCCCCAACGGGGAGTCCTCCAGACAAGAACCCCAACATCCGACGAAGGCACCCATACACCACCGCCGTGCCAGACCAGGGCCATCCTGGGCCGTAGGATGGTGTATAGACCCTCCTGGCTCGGCCCGGAGGGCGTATACACCATCCTAGGGCCCAGGATGGCCCTGGCCTGGCACGGCGGCGGTGTATAGAGTATAGATGCTTTCTGCATAAAGCACTTGCCAGACACTGGGCGCGCCGTGCGCCCCTGCGGCAAGCCACCGGGGGCGGCGGATGGCGGAAAGCGCGCCTGGCGTCGCGATCCGTCGGTCGGGAGAACTAATGGGGGGGGGGGGTAAGCATCCCGGGCGTCAGATCTAATCCCTCCAAGTTTCGGCCACTTTCGGCCCAAGACGGCCCAAGTCAGCCCCAAGAGCGCCCAGGAGGCCTCAAGTCTGCCCAAGAGGTCCCAAGATACCTCCAAGACGGCGTCGGAGAGATCCAAGAGGGCCCGAAGACGGCCCAATAGCGCTCCAAGAGGGCCCAATCGGGTTTCAAGACAGCCCAAACGGCCCCAAGAGCTTTCTTGGGACGGCTCTCGGAGGCCTCTTGAGACGTCTTGGGCAACTTGTTCGACCGAGTGGAGGCCTTCTTGGCTGTCTCGGATCGACTGAGAGGCGATTCGGGCCCGTCTCAGGGCCCTCCTGGGTCCGAGCAAACATGCGACAAGACCCGGCGCGCCCCAGGAGATTTGACAGTTCTGGGTCCAGGCCCCTTCAAGAATCCTCAGGATTGAGGGCCGAGGCTCCAGGGGATCCAACAAGAAACCTGCAGACACTCCAATTTGTGCCTCAAGGGCACGATGGCGGATCTATTCTTCCCGTCGCTATCCCTTTCTCCCCTTCCCCCTTCTTGAGCGCCTGGAGGACAAGTCGGCGGACACCGGCTGCCACTGCAACGACAGTGAGCTGCAGTCGATGCTCGACCAACTGCCCGAGCCTGAGAACGCTGCTCCAGGCGTTGAAGACCACCCTTCTCCTCTTCCCCCCGTGGGTCAACTGGGGGCCCCCGGTTTTGAAGTTTTCAATCCGAGAGCCCCGCGTTTACCTTTCTAAGGATGGGCTCCGCGAGGAGCCTGTCACCCAGAGCGGATACATAACGTTTCCCTCTTTTATCCCAGCTTCTCCCCCGTTCCCCTCCTCCCCTTCCTGCTTCCCCCTCTCCCCGCCCCCGCGCGGGGCAAGAGGGCGGAAGTGCTAAGGGGAGGGGGCAGGATGGGGCTGCATGGAAGCGTCGCAAGGGGGTTCTCCGAAGGCGGCGTGGCGCGTGTGGATCTGATCGCCGCCGTCTTTAAACAGCTAGACGCCGACACCGATGGCATGCTCAGCTCCAGGGAGATGCGCAAGTTCGCGGAGCCTCATGGGGGGCGAGTTCCTCGGACGACATGTTCGTTGTTGTTTGTTTCTTTCCGCCATAACGTGGCACGCAAATGTCAGCGGTTAACCGGCTGCTCGGTCGCAGTGATTTCAGATTCCGTGTGGATCGGGCCCCCGCTTCCTTTCTTGTCTTTGCTTGGCCTGATACTCTCTTTCTCCACGTGGCGGATCTTTCTCCGACGTGCCTGGAGACCTGACGTTGCCGCTCTGCGTGCCATTATCACGTGACCACCGTAACCTCTGGGCCCCAGAGTCTGGGGTGAGGAGGAGGAGGAGGAGGAGGAGAAGGAGGAGAAGGAGGAGGAGGAGGAGGCGCAGTAGAGGGGTGGAGGGCGAGGATGGTGCTCTGCTCGGGAAGTTTGAGAAGCTGGCTTCTGGGCTGCAGCTCGGCCCCCATGGGTCTGATCGGGGCTGTCATGCCGCAGTTGTGAGGCCCTCGTCTGACCAGGGCTACTGTCGTGGGTATCCGCGTTCTTGTATTGGGCCGACGCGACTGGCAGAACGGCATGTGGTCCGCACGCTTGATTTGATTTGAGGCAGCAAGGCGTGGGGAGGATGGAGGGCGGATGGGGGGAGGAGGCGTCCCCTCCACCTCTTGCCTGCGATCTATCCCAGCCGTGAGACGTTGGAGCCCACCACAGGAGCACACTGGCTTCCAAGGCACCGAAACCGTCTGGAAAGAGGAGTTCAAGAACCTGTGCACCGTGCCTGGCAAGGAGGAGCTCCAGAAGCTCGACCTGGCCTTCTTCTCCAAGCTCGTGAACGACAGGCGCCTCCCATTCTCCCGTCCCCTCCCCCTCTCTGTCCCCCTCTCTCTTCTCCGCTCTCCCCGTCCCCGTCCCCCTCCCTCTTCCTGCCTCCCCCCCTCCATTCTCCCCCCCCCGTGCTTGTCCTTCTCCGCCCCATCCCCCTCTTCTGAAGGGTCGCGCGCGGCTGTGCTCGTGCTTTACGCGTGTTCGTCCGCTGATCGCCTTGCACATATGTTGTGTGTGTGTGTGTGTGAACTGTAGGTCGAGTCTGCAGCTTGTGCCGTTATCTGTAGTTCTAGACAGTATGCCTTGTGTCTTCGTCTTACGCATGCATCTAGGAGTCTCGTGCTGCACCGTAATGTGTCCTGCTCGTTTAGAGTTTACACCGTCACGTATGACCACGCTCAGCACAATGGTTTGCTCATGTAATTTGCTCGGGCACCAGGGGCCCGGGCCCCGGACCAGCGCAACTTCCCAGCTTCCCCCCCCTTCTCGGCCCGTATTGGCCGACGGAATCTGGCCCCGCCCATCCCCCTCCGCGGTGTCATATGGCCTTCACGGCCGCTCCAACAGATGTGGTGAACGTTTCGGAAGCTTTTGGGGACCTCCTCGCTGCTTCTGAGAGCTCTCGGGGCTGTCCTAAGGGCTGTTGGGGGTTTCTTTGGCTCTCTCGACACTCCCAGGCGGGGCCTTCGGGCCGCCTGGAGGTGTCTTGGCTCCTCTCCTTTTCTCGCCCATGCTTCCCTTGTGGGGGGCGAGGGGGGAGAGGTGAGGTGGAGGATGACTGGACTGGTTTGTGGCCTTAGCAACAGTGCCGAGCTCCCGAGACATAACTACAATCGGGCCATACCCCGCCCCCAGCAGGGAAGGGGGGAGGGGGGGGGGAAAGAGGGGCGAGCAGGGGGGAGAAGGGGGGAGGGGGATTATGGATGCAGGGAGGGTGGCGGCGAGCAGGGAGGAAGAGGGCTTTCGGCAAACTTCTTTTGCGCGGGCCCAGCTCAAACTTCAGAACGCTTGGGCGGCGTGGACGCCGAACCGACAACATGGGACCAGGTCCGCCTCGCTGCCCGCCCCAGCCTCCCTCCTCCCATCCCCTCCTCCTTGCTCGTCCATCTATCTGTCCCTGCCACCCCTCCCACGAGCAGCGAGGGAGGGAGGGAGGGAGGTAGGGAGAGAGAGAGGGGATAGCGCCAGGAAGCGAGGGAGGGAAGAGAGAGAGGGAGACACAGTGAGGGACATGCGGGGACGGAGGAGGAGAGGGCCTGCGAGGTCTGCCGACACGGGCTGCTACTGCTCCGACGACGAGCTGCACGCCATGCTCGCCAGCTTCGGTGGCCAGATTGCCCCGCCTGGGGGCTCGGTAGGGACGCTTCCGAAGGCCTGCCGGGCACCATCTTTCTGTCCTGGTTTCTCTTGCTCGTGCTCCCGCTCGGCGCCCTCCTCCTTCTTCCCCTTGCCCCTCCCCCTCCCCCATCCCCTCCTGGTTTTCCTCCTCACCCCCTCCATTCCGCTCCTCTTCCTCCTTCGCCCTCCCCTCCCCCTTCTCCTCCATTCCTCTTCCGCAACAGTAACTCCTCCTCGTCGCACCCAGGGGCCAGTCGGAAGGGCGGGCCGGGCGTTTGGCTTGAGACTTCCTCACAATGTATGATCTTGGAGCTTAAGAGCAGGCAACGGCTTCACAGATGGAGTGCGGGCCGCTTCCAAAATGTGGTTTTCGCTTTATCGCCGCGCACATTCGTTTTCACGCTTCGCGAGAGTTTCACGAATATTGAGGGAGCGCCGTTTTCAAAATGTGGCTCGCGCCTGAGCGCCGCGCACATGTTTTAAACATTGTTGCAGGAGTTTCACATATTGAGGGCGGTTCCTTCTCAAAATGTAGCTCTCGCCTGAGAGCCGCGCACACTCGTCCTAAGAGTTTCTCGACGCTTCGCGTATCTCCACGAGCTGTATCATCCCGGTGCGCGCTTTGTTGCTGGACTCCTCGCCCAAGCCTGGTACGCCGCGGCACTGAACCCAGGGCTCCTGGACCTGGTCCTTGGCCCCTCCGTCGACCTTCTGGTCTGGATCGGCAAGAAACCGGCCGCAGAGCGTCCTAACGACATGCGTCCCTTGCAGCTCCCCACCTGCCTACGGAGGCTGCATGGAGCGACCATTGCCGATTGCCTTGGCCCTGTGATTGAACCCAGGCTTAGCCCCAATCAAGCTGCCAAGCGCGGGGGACAATGCGGTCCCAACATCACCGCTGCCACCAACCATCTTGCCCTGGATCCCGTCCCCGACACCGAACCCGGGCCCTCCTGGACCGCCCTGCTTGGCGCACACCAAGAAGCTGTTGACCGCTATATACTGGTCGCCGCTCGGCAACTAGGCCCTGCCCCGAGCACGGCTATTCTCTTCTGCGATCAAAACAAAACTTTCGAGCGCATATCCCTGCAGTGGATGGGGCAGCTGGCGAGGCGTTGGCAGCTCCCGACCTGGCTCCTGCACTCCGTCGACTCCCTCGTCGGTAGCAGGAGCGTACGCACCTGCAAAGGTAGGTACAAAAGCAGAATAAGGAAGCTCTTACGGTCTATCGGAATGGGAGGCACCGCCTCCCCGCTCCTCTGGTGCCTAGGATACGACCCTCTCATCAGCGCCCTGGCCGACATCACCGGGGCGGACGATCCGACTTACGTGGATGACCTCGCTGCCCTGCTGGGCGCCACCGCCCAATCACTGCGTGCCGGCATCGCCTTGCCCTGGCTCGCAAGAGCGGCGGGGCTCCTCGTCGAAGCCCACCAGTGCAGGGGCATTGCAGCCCAATCCGGTATCAACATCAGGCAGTACCTGGACAACGCCCCGGTGGACTTCAGCGATGATGGCACCACCACAACTGTTACAGGCCTGCCTGCCGGGCTCTTCCTGGAAATGATCAGGCGCGCTGCTGGCTCCAGAATTGCGGCTCAGTGTTCTCCCTGGACCAGCCCATGCATGTGCAGATTTAAAACGGCCCTGGTCCCCGCCAGCAACCACGATTGGTGGAGACGCACCATGGACTTCACCCCTTTCGGCTCATCCGCCGTCCGTCCCCAGTGGCCCTATCTCGGCGCCTGCATCGTATCTAGGGCTGCCGAAGGGGAAATTCTACCGCCCAGGGGGAGGATGACAAAGGGACAACTCGACGCCCTCGTCGCTGGCACCTGGGGCAAACCCTTCCCCAAGCTACGGGACCGGGCCATGGCCCTCCACCTTGCAAGCATGTCTCCCACTAAAACCGCCCTCGCCTGGAACACCTACCTCATCGCGCTCATCCCGTACCCGTCCCACTACTCCCTCCCTGACACCGTGCAAGAAAGGGCACTCAGAGCACGCCTGCGGGTAGCCCTTGGTCTTGCCTCTGCCCCCTGGATCCCAGACAACATCCTCACTGGTCTTGGCATCCGCTTCCAAGTCCCTGGCTGCCCCAAATGTCCGGTTGCTACCTCGCGTGCGATCGCGGCCAGGGCGCACGCCCTTGACGACCTGTGGGGGCCCCTACAGGCGAGACATAAGGCGGGGAGAAGGTGGAACAAACTCGTGACATGGGCGCGGGACTTCGCCCCTCGGGATGAGCCGCGTAGGCCCGGCTCCAAGGTGCTGACCGACGCCAGGGCCGCTGACCTCTTCAATCGCGCCTTGAGAGAGCCCCCTAGGCGCCGGGCCCGCTACTTCGGGCGCGTAGTTTACGCTGCGGCCTGGACGCAGCTCCACGGGCACGTGGTGAGCTCCTGGCTCTCCACAACCAGCCACGAGCGTAGGTGGGCTCGAACCGACGGTGCGGAATGGTCCCTTCTCGGGCACTGCGCCTCCTTCACCGAGGCGCACCACGTCCTCCGCGTTCTGGCCAACGGACTACCCGGATCCGCGCGTAGACGAAGCGTCGCTGACAGGATCCCCCACCAGTGCGGCTGCGGCAGGATGGCCAATAGAGTCTGGCTCACCGCTGGACAACGGGATCGCGGTCAGGCCTGGTGCGACTCGTGCCTCGGGCCCTGGACCGGAGAGGCCTCCCTCTGGCCCCTCCTTGGCGACGACGCTTTGCCCGAGGACTTGCGTCCACTTGCTGCGGAGAGAAGAGGGCAACTCGGGCACATCACCGTTCCCATACGGCAAGGACTCTACGGAGCCTGCCCTCTCTGCGGCCTGGGAGAAGCCACTATTGAGCACGTGTGGGGTTGGTGCCCCGCCGCCGCCCTCGCCTGGGAAAAGACCGAAGGCCCTGACCACCCCAGAGACCTTCCCACCGCGATATGCTCCAGGGGGCAGCGCCAGAGACTGGTCTGCCGCCTTCTACACCAGATCTCCTTTAGATACTGTGTGAACCTGGATTGTGCCCCCATCGGAGCCGTCGAAGCCGCCAGAATCATTGTCCAGGGGATCTCCGTACCAGACACCGACCTCCAGGAAGACAATGAGGAGGAAGAAGGCATGCAAGAAGGGCAGGCCCCTGCTGCACCGGCGGACGAAACTGCAGTCTGGGCCCCCATGCTGCTCCCCTGTCAACTTTGCAATCCCCAAGGCCCGCACCTGCTGCGCATTCAGGGGGCCGCTGGTCCGCATCTTGGCAGACGAGCTCCCCGCGCTGGTGGGGACATCCGGCGCCTCCCTGTCACGACCAGGTTCGTGAGGAGTGGGGATCGGCCCGCCGTTCTCCAAACGGGCGACACCAGAGCGAGTCGGATGCCGCCTGGGTTGGGCTGGTTCCCCTGCCCCAGGACAGACAGGTCCCCCAGTGCCCTCTGGACCAAGAGCTACTGCCGACTCTGCGACCTACATGCCCTGGTGCTCAGAGCCAGCAGGGACATGGAAACTGGCGAGGAGATCACCGTCAGAGACTCCCCGCTCCCCGCTGCCGATGCGGCCCAATGGCCCGTTGAGCTCACTTTCGACGGGGGGGCTCGCTGAATTGGGGGAGACGACAAGGTCTCCGGCGCGGCAGCTGTCCTCTGGAAACACGACCCGCACCGCGGCTACCCGCGCGTCGTCGCGGTTACCGTTGTTGCCCTCCCGGGCGACAATGCGCAGACGGCGGAGGCATCTGGGTGCAGAGCGGGACTCGCCCTACTCCCCCACCTTGACACCACCCTCCGAGGTGCCCGCGTGGTCGGCGACAATCTTGCCGCCTTCCGGTACGGAGCCGGCACGGGCCGCTATCGCCGGCTCCACCTGGCACAGCAGATGGACTTCGCCCTTCGGCAAGCCAGCGAAGCAGGATGGACACTTACATGGCAGGCCGTGCGTCGTCGCCTCAACAAAGCAGCTGACCGTCTTGCCACACTAGGTGTCTTCTGGGCCGATGCCCTTCGTCGCGCCGGCGATCTAGCCATCACTTCCTGGGTCTTCTGGGAGGGCTCCCAGCTGCCCCCCCCTCCCTGTTTCCTGCCGCGGACATCGACCTCTGTGACTTGGACCAAGTTGCGCTGTTCGTCGATGCCCTCGAAAATCCCCCTTTCCCCCCTCCCTCTCTGATCGCCCCCGCCGCGACACACTAAGGTCCTGACGGGTCGCAGCGTCACTGCCATCACAAGAAGCGCAGCCTTCCGCTGCCATCCTGGACAGGTTCCCACCCTGGACAATGCCCAAAAACAACCAGGGCCCCCTCCGCCGTTGGCCCTCCTGCCTACCGTGCAGTGACGAAGGGCCGCCAATGCGCGCGGGCACGCGCGTCTTCCTGGCCCGCTTCTGTCCCTGGATGCGTTGGGTCTACTTCCACGGCGGTTGGCGACGCTGGTGCGAGATCTGCCAGGAGCCCGTCGACGACACTGAACACATCCTAAGCGCGAAGCACTACGACATGTCGGTGGCACGGTGCCAGGACGGGTGGCCAGACCCGAACACTTTCACCACTCCTGGGAATCTTTGGTGCATGTGCGGAGGGAACCCCTACGACGCTACCCACCAGGTATCTGTCGCGCGGTTGGCCTGGCGCGGCTGGAAACCAGTCCAGCCCTTGGTTGCCCGCGACGGGGTTCGCTCGCTACCTGGCATCGCAATCCCCGAGGATGCGCTGCGCGTGCCCATCACCTACCCCCTCTGGGACGATCCGTCGACATACAACTGCCCAGGAGGCACCAGGGTGGAGCCGGAGAAGGTTCGTTCGCACATGATGAACAGGCTGGGCGCCGCAAGGGAGGGCCTCAGACAGCCTGAGGACGGCGACGGGAACAGGATGCGGGCGAAATCGTCCATCTGGCTACCCCCCTCACCTGGACAGGCCGCAGGCTCCTCTGGGGTACCTCCCCCTCCGCCCCCGCCGTCTCGCCCTCCTCCTGCCTGGGGCCCACCTTGCCAGCAGCGAACAGTCCAGCTGGCCGAGGCCAGTGAGACGGAGATTGAAGCTCTCTCTCCGACAAGCCCAGC